CCCACCGCGCTTGCATCCGCACGGTTTCAGCGTTCGCTGCCAACTCAGCGCCATCCGGCAAACGACTGTGGAACGCGGGGTAAAATACCAGGATGTCCTTTGATTCACCCCGACGCGCGCTCTGCCGCGGCCGCTCGAGACTGGAGAACGGGACGGGCGAGCGCACGAGGCGCGCCAAGACCTCCTTCAACCGCGGCGACGGGGTGTCGCCGAGGCTGACAGTGAATCTGAGCGCGCGCATCCCGAACCTGCTACCCACTGCGAGGACGGGCGCGTCACGGAAATGGCCGAAGCCCCACGCGTTCGTCACGTCGGCCACGGTGCGCCATCTGAGCGTGTCCAAGATCCCCTTGCCCGCCGCGGCCACTGGCAACTTGCCGCGGCCCTGCGGCCCTGCACGCAGCCCAGATGTATGGAGAGTTTGTCGCGACAAATGTCGCAATTAGTAGACGTCGAACATCTCTTTCGTGGGGACCTCAAAAAGGCCGACGTCGTAGGCGCTGGTCACGGCTCGAAAGCGGCGGCTGTTCTGGAAGTACTCCGCGGACAGGCTCAGCAAACGGCTCAACAACTTTTTCCTGGTACTCCCAGCTTCTGTCTGCATTTTTCTGGGAGGCGCTGCAGGATATGTGATAGTACTGTATGCCGTCGCGCTCGGGGAGCGGCGGCAGGACGACTGTGCGGTCCAGCATGACGCCCAGCATCAAAGCCGCCTTGATCTCCATCAGCTGGCTCGAGTCCCCGCTGTGCAGTGGAAGCCACCAGTAGCGCTCCGCGTCCAGTAGAGAGGCGCCCGGCCATCGGCATCCAGCGGCGCCCGCCGGGAGCAACGCGGCGCACGACGCGAAGAGCAGACGTGCGGCCGCCGGCGCTCCGAAGCGGCGCCGCGCGCCCAGCTCGGCGGCGCGGGCCTTCGCGGTCATGGCGCGCGGGCCCTGGGGGGCCGCGGCTCCTACGGGGGCATGAGAAAGCGTGAGGGGTCTTGAGCCAAAATGGCTTGAGCCAAATGGCTACGGAGGGCTTGCTCTGGTCCTCCTCTTCATCCTTTTCCATCCTCCAATCCTCCATTCGCTGCCTCCCTCCCTTGTACTCCTCCTCGTCCTCCTCCTCACTCTTCCCTCCTTCCTCCTTTGTCTTCTCCTCCTCCTCCTCCCCCTCCTCCTTGACGCCCTTCTCTTCCTCCAACTCCTCCCCCTCCTCATCACTCTCTTTTCCTCATTCCTTCCCCACTCCCAGTTGCCGTGGTCATTCGCCGACGGCGCTGACGGTGACGACGATGCTAACGACGACGACGACGACGACGTGGGCAAACATAAGGGCTGACATACAGTGCGGGTGCGGACGCAAGAAACCCTCGCAAGAAACCCAACCCTGAGAACCCGTGCGCGAGGTGCACCTGAGGGCAAACCAGGAGCACCCTGAACGCAGCAGCTCCTTCAACAGCTGCGGGAAGCCACTGCGCAGCGCGAGAAACGAAGAAACCCAGGATACCCTGACGAAAAGCATATGGTTTCTTGATGCGCGCCCCCACTGTAACGACAACAGACACCACGGCGGCGACGACGGCGGCGGCGACGACTTCGACGACGGCGGCAGCGGCGACGACGGCAACGACGACTGCGAAGAGAAGAAACCCTAAGAGAGGGCCACGAAATCTGGGAGATCTCATGACCTTGGCCATCATGCCCCCCCCACCCCAACCCCCGACGTCGTGTCTCTTTTCTTTCCCGCAGAACGGGTCCCCCAGAGATCTGGACCCCTGCCCGGGGACTGGTTCTTCAGCCCGAGAAGTTCTTTGACGGTCCCAGGGCCCGGTGAAGGGGGCCGACCATCGCCAACAATCTCCGGCCGCGATTCTTTCACGACGCGAGGGGATCTGGGCCCCCGTTTTTGACGGGGCAACGTTCGGGAGGACCAGCTCAGGGGGGCAACATCGAGCTGGAATCGGCGATGCGTCGCCGCAAGATCGGCGATGGGCCCCCAACAGCGCATCCGCACGTTACTGGGCGGGGTAGGCCTGTTGGGCCCCTGCCGGGGATGAATGGGTGATGGGGGGCCCATGCGCCCCTCCCTGAGCTCATTCCCCCTCGAACGTGGCCCCTGATCCCTGGGCACCCCCGACAAAGCGGCCGCGGCTGGCCCCCCGCGCGGAGAGGGGCGGCCGTGTCCTCCCGCGCTCGCGCTCGTGAGGAAGGGCGCGGAGAGCCCCTGATTCCCCCCCGCCGCGTCTCCCGGACTCCTGCTGTGCCGCTGCTGCCGCTGCTCCTCCTCGGCCTCGTTGTCGTCGTCGTCGTCGTCGCCGCTATCGTCCTCCTCCTCGTTATTGTCCTCGCCGTCGTCGGCGTTCTTCTCTTGCTGCTTCTCCTCCTCCCTCGTAGTCGCTGTGTTCGTCGTCCTCGTCGTGCTCCTTGTTGTCCTTCCTCTCCTCGTCCGCGTCTTCGCCCTTCTCCACCTGCGGGAGGGAGAGAAGGAGAAAGCGGATGAGGAGGAGAGGAGGACGAGGACGAGGACGAGGACGAGGACGGGGATGAGGATGATGATGAGGAGGAAGAAGAAAGTCACTACTCCAAGATGTATCCCCCTCATCGATATAGCCTGCGCGCCCAGACGCTGAGGCGCACCATGGCCCTCGCCATTGCACGCATTGCATCAACATGCTTGCCTGCCACTGCCCCTGGCAAGCTTTTGGCCTGCATCCCCGCTGCATGGTGAGCAGCAAATCGAGGGTAACGGCAGTCGAACACAAGTCAGCTCGGTTGTTGAAGGAGGTAAACAGAAACGTATTCTGCTCCCAAAGCGGGGAGTGGGAGGGAGAAGTAGAGAGAGAGAGAGAGAGGGACACATAGACATATATGTATGTATGTATGTATGTATGTATGTATGTATGTATGTATGTATGTATGTATGTATGTATATACATCCACATACTTATATAGATAAACATTCCCCAAACAATGCTTCCACATAGAGTTCTGACTTTTCATTCTGAGGAATTGGGCTGGTGTGGTGGTCTGGCGGCTATGTGACCGCCGTCGCCGCTCCGTCACCGCCTCGTCGCCGCACGTCGTCTGGGCTGGTGTGGCGGTCTGGCGGCTATGTTGCCGCCGTCGCTGCCCCGTCGCCGCTTCGTCACCGCCCATCGTCTGGGCCGGTGCGGCGGTCTGGTGGCTATGTTGTCGCCGTCGCCCCCCCCCTCGCCGCCGTCGCCACCGTGAGATTGCATTACGTAGATCGTACCACATAGATTACACCACACATATTGGCCCACATATATACTCTTCTCTTAACAAGTAATTGGATCGACTTCCCTCTCCTGGACCTCAGCGCTCCCCATTTCGTATTGCAATTTACGTGCGATTCTACCCCATCGTCCATCCTACATATGAACTCGGATCATCCCAGCCAAACCTGTATCGCCCCCTGTGCAAAAAAACAAAATGTGCGCGCATTTGTTGATCAACAATCAACAATTTTTACGAATCCCCTGCGCAGAAAAACGTTACGAAATGCGCAAGCGCGCGTCGCCGCGTGCGTATGCCGAAATCCTTCAGGAACCATCGGTTTCGTAAGGATTTCAACATGGAGTGTCCCGAAAACCTTCTCTATATACATATATACATATATACGTATTCCTCTTCCTATATCTTTATAAGCCCGGGCGGGGGGGAAACCCGTCCCCCCCCCCCCCAAAACCGGACTCCCGGGATTTGGGGCTTTGGGACCCTCCGGACGGGCCTCGAAGCGGCCCCCCTGGCCTCGCAGGGCGTTTTGCCAAGCCTTCCCAGCACACCTAGGGCGATCAGGGGGGTCATCGTAGACGTCTCAGAGACCCCCATGACAGCGCAAGAGCGCTCCAAGAGTGACCGACGTGACCTCAAGATGGCCCAAGAGGTCTCCAGGACGGCCCCAAAGAGGCCTCCAAGAGCACTCCCAAGAGGCACAAATCATGGATTTTCTGTTAGTTTTTAGTGAATTTGGGGGTTCTCCTCTTTTCGGCTTCCCGACGCTCCAAGACGGCGGTCTTCTGGGCGTCCGAAGCCGCCTGGGAGGCTCCCAAATCGCCCCACAACCATCCGAAAGAGCTTCCAGGCAGTCCAGGAGAGCCCCAAAACGGAACAACACGAGTCCAAGATGGCCCTCAGAGAGCCCCATGGCTGCCCAAGATGGCCCCAAGACACCCTCCGAAGCATTCCAAATCGTGACCCGGTCGTTCAGGGAGACCGTGGTTGGAGGCAGGGTGGCCCGAGGAAGCCCCCAGAGGCCCTCAGAATACGCCCAGGAGGCCTCCAGAAGGCCTTAAGAAAACCTAAAACAATTGTTTTAGGCCCCCAGAGGCTCTCCCAGGAGGAGCCTCCGCAAAAAAAAGCTGAGGATGATAGGGAGAATGCGCAGGGTATGGCGAACATGAAGAACAAAAATACGATGGAGGAAAGATAACGAATCACATTTTCATAGCGGCGATGCCGGAAAAAGGCAACAAGGAGTTATCGCTAAATTGTCGGCTTGACCTTCGTGCTATTTCGCCTGGGTACCAAACTTCAAAGACAAAGGTGCATGGCGCGAAGCGCCACTGCAGTCTTGCATATATATATATATACATGCGTACATATTTATACTTATGCATATATATATATATATATATATATGTAGATACATCTGAACACATGGCTTTCCAACACCAATGTTAAAACAACTTGCGCTCGTGCTCTTGCGAATTCGTAAGAATTCCGAATCTTTTATGCAAGCACGCATGGTGCCAAACGTGCCTCTCGCGCGCGCATGCCGAAATCATTCGAAGGTCGTTGCGCGCGTGCTGTCGCAATAATGCCCAGCAGCACATGGGACAGAGTGCACATGCGCGCGTCGTCGCGCGCGCATGCCGAAACCCTATAAAAAACCTGAGGCATCGCAAAGATTTCAACATCGATTGTCCCGATAACATTAAACACATGGGTTTACAACAACAATTTTCAAAACAAACCTGCGCTCGCACTCCTGCGAGTTCCAAACAAAAAACAATTGTTTTTTCAACATTTCCGTGTCATTCGGCCAAACGGGCCTCCCGGGCCGCGTGTCGAAAAAATTCGGACGCCCTTGTGCGCGTGCGGGGGGGTGGACGCGATCCGTGTCACATGATGCCATGCGGGCCACTCTTTTACGTCAGCCGCGCGCGCGTGTCGAACTCCCTACAAAAACTTCATCACTGGCGCAAGGACGCCTTCATCGTCGTCGGCGGGATCCGCATCGACGCCGTCGCTGGCCTTGCCGTCGTCGATGTCATCATTGTCGCCAGCATAGCTACCATCATCATCGCGTCTACCATTGTCGACCTGGCCATGATACCGCGCCCGCCCGCGTCGCCGACTCGCACTGCAGCGCCCGCAGGGAAGCGCCCGGTCGCGCCAAACTAGCTGGCCGCTGCGCGCGCGAGCATGCGCGGGCTAGG